AACAAAAAAACTTAAAATTTTTTTTTTTTTTTTTTTTTTTTTTAAATCTTCAAAGGTGAGGCCATGCCTCTATCTTTATTAAATCTTTTTTAATAACTTTAAAATCTAAATAATATATTATAACTGATGCTAAAGTTGGCTAATGCTAAAGTTTTAATTTATTTTATTATGAAATTTTAAAATTTTTGTTATATTTTTTTTTATAATTAGGTTAGGATTTAGGATTAGTATTATTAATGGATAAGAGCTCATCATTTGTACTACTGGTGGTACGTTTATTAAAAATTATAAAAATTTTAAAAAATTATAAATTTAAAAAAAAAATTATAAAAAAATCTAATTAATATTCTAATTTGATTTTATTTAATTTTTTTTAAAATTAATAATTAAGTTATTTAAAAAAATTTTTTTAATCAATTTTTTTTTAAACTTTTTGGTGTACTACATATAATATACTTTTTAAAATCTTATATCTTGTAAAATATAAATAAATTTTATAATTTAAAAATATTATTATATAAAAAAATAATAAAATTTTATTATTATTAAAAAATATTATTATTTATATTATAAAAATATTATTTACTCTTATAGGCTATTAATTGCAAAACATTATTATTTTTAGTAATATATAGAGTTTATTCAATTTTTAACAAAATTTAAAAAAAATTTTTATTAAATAATTTGTTTAAATTTTTAATAAAAATTATAAAAAACTTTATAATTTATTAAAATTAATTAAAATTTAATGTTATATAATTTATCGCATCTGCATTGTAATGCACCTACCTAATCGACTAATCAGATTGTAAGATCAGGTGTAATGTGAAATTGAAAAAAATAGCAATGTTTTGAAAAAATTGCTTGTAGCTCATAAGTTGGCTTATAAAACTACCCTTTGCATTCTAACAAAAAAAAATTCTTTACAAACTTTTGGATATAACTGACATCTAATCTAAATCTACATTAGTACTAACTCTTACCCTAAATTAATACATTGTTTGTTTGTTTTGATTTTACATTACACCAGATCTTATGGGTGCGTTATAATGCAAATGCGATAAATAATAAAGTTCTAAAATTTATATATAAATCAATATATTTTAAATAGAAAATTTCTAGACATCTCTGGCCAGAGATATATAGCTTATATATCTCTGGCTTATTAGCCAATAAAAACAAAGAACTGTCACGTAAGTCGTTTTCGTGTGATCACGCAACCACGTGATTCGTTCTGGCAGGCTCACGAATAATATATATAAAGGTTATATTTGAATATCATATAAAAAATTTTTTTCATTAGCACTTTTAAACTAGTAGTTATTAGCAAAAATTTAAATATTAGATAAGATATTTTAGTAAAATTAGCAAAATTTTAAATATAACATATATATACAGTATATAAAAAATAATAAAAATTTATTTATATATGTATGTACTATATATATACAAATAAAATAAAAATAATTGCAAATTTGCATTTATTCTATTACTACTATAACAATAGTTACAATAATTTTATAGACTAATTTGTTAATTACTAGTAGTTTTCAATACAATATACTATTTTAAAATAATATATAATCTTTTTTTAGTTTCTGTATCATTAAAATATGTAAACAAATCTAATGCCTTTTCTGAAATAGTTAATAATCCTAAGTTTTCGTTAAGATGTAAAAAATTTTCAACTCCTAGATAATAAAGAATAGCAGATGGAGGAATATGTGAAATAATAGAATAACCTAAACTAGATAAGCATGAAAAAATATTATGTTGAAGAGGAAAAAATACTTTGGTTGAAATATAAGATAAATCATCAATTGAATGATGTTTAGAAATAAATGAATGATAGTTGCTATTTTTATAATAAAGTGCAAGTATATATATAATACAAATTTTTGCTTCATAATATGCAATTGCGAATCCTCCTTGTTTTATTAAATGTGTTTTATTAACATTTGCAATAGCAATATTTGGAATATCTAAAATAAACATTAAAAATAAATAAATAAATAAATAAAAAATATATAAATCCTATTATTAATTTACTTACCAGGTAATTGTTGGCTATTAGAATCTAATAAACTATCTAGTTGAGATCGCATTTTCTATCGATTTTGACGTGGAATACCTGAACGTGAAGTTTCATTAGATGAAAGATATGATATTAAGCTTTGAGTATAATTTGTATTTAATTTTTCTGATTCTTCATTTTGATTTCTGCTAATACGACGTTCCATTGATTGACTTGTATAAGCTTCATGCTGTTGTCGTAACCTAATTAATGCTAATACAGCTACATTCTGATTATTAATGTCATTAATTTTAATAAAAAATTCATCATCTAATATATCAGATATATTTGGTATTGAATTTAATATTGATTGTGAAATAAATAAAAGATTTAATCATCCTTCTTCAAAATCAGAATATGATTCATCAGGTAAATTCCAATTATCTTTATAAATCTCAGTTGCAGCTGTTGAAATAAAAAGATTTTCAATATTATTAATATCATCTAAATTTTCATAATTAGAATTAATACTATCTAATATTTCTTCGCTATTATTTTCATTATCAAAAATTAGTGGATTATATAATTGAAAAGAAATAGTTGTCATATTTAAAACATTTTCAGTTAAAATTTTTGCATGTTTAAATGCTTGATGAATAACGGCTTTAATTTCTTCATTTGTAGGCCATTGTCGTAAATTATCAATATGTTTAGAAATACTATCATCATTATAATGAAAAAAATAACCTATAAAATATAAATTATTAATAAATATTTATAATATATATATAATATATAATATAAAATATAATTATACCAGCTGCAGAAGTTTTTTCTTTAAAAACTGAAATTGATTCAGAAGCATATGCTTTATAAAGATATGATATTTTAGGAACCAAAGCAATAAGATCATTAAATGAAAAATCTGATAATAATTAACGTGCTAATCCAAAGAAATGTTCACAGCCTTCAGAACCATACATCCATGGTACAAACAGATATGTTGGATAAAAATCACGATATGTAATAACAAATAAAATCTAAAATAAAAATTAATTAACTTAAATTTATACGTATTAAAATTTTAAATTAAAAAGCTTATCATTGATTCTGGAAAACTTGTTAAAATATTAAATGTTTTACTTGCTAAAAAATTTTTTTGTAAGCTCATAAAACCAAAAGTTGTATTTGTGCATACTTGTATATGATGCTTCCAATTATGTAAAAAAAATAACCAAGCATAACCATATAACATTAGTCTAATGGTTTTATTTCTCTATTTTGAAATGCATCTATAAGTTCACCTATTAATTAAAAAATTAAGTTATTATTGAAATATAAATTTATAATTTAATTGAAAAAATAATTACCAAATATAAAAAGATAAATGAAAAGACCAGTTTTAGCCTTATTAATTAAAAAATTTTGATCTGAAATTTGTTTAAGTAAGGATGAACAAAATAGCTGATATGCAGCACCATCATCTTGACAGTCAACATTTCAACATCTCACTTGTATAATATACTGTCAAACTTTTGGCTTAATTTTAATATATGATCATAACATGCTATAGTATGATCAAAAGTTAATAATCGTGTATCAGAGAATAATGCATTTCATGCATCTTTTTTAGCATGAAGTGGATCAGTAATACTTATTACAGGACCAACATCTTCAATAATTGGACAGCTAAATTTAATATCTATATGGAGTTAAAAATAAGTATACAATATATAATTCAAATAATTTAACCAAACCTCTCTAAATATATAAATAATTTAATTAATATTTACTATATAAGTTATCTTGAAATTCAAGTTTACGTAATGTTTGAATTTTCATGATTTTTTTTTGCGCATTAAACTCTGGAGAAGCACCATCAGCACCAAATGCCAAAATTAGAAGTTGTAATTGGCAGCTATTTTAAGCAAATTCTGATGCATATTAAAAATATCTTCTGTATTTTCTTTACCACAATTTAGAATTAATGCAATTACTGATGGTGGAAATTTTGATATAGGAATCTAAAATTAATATTAAAAATACTTAATGCATTATTATAAAATTATATAATTTTTAATGATAAATTAATATAAGTTTATATAATCTTACTTGTAATAGATAAACCTTAACTTGTGAAGCAATAGCATTTTCTGATTTAATTCTATCGACTATTGTATAAATATTATTATGACTTTGTACACAAGTTTGTGAAAGTAGAAGTGTTAAACTAACAATACACCCAAGAAGAGATGAATATCCAAGCTGTTTTTTAAGTTTTGTATTATCTGTCATTGCTATTAATGGACCCTTATATTGAAGTGTATCTACTAATCATTTAACTCGTGCAATATTTTCATAACAAAGACTAGTATCATGAAGCATATACTCTGAGCGTGATCTTTGTAATCTGATTATAAAATAATATAAAACTTTAATTTTAAATATTATTTAATTTAATATTTTCAAAATTTTGTAATTTATATACCTAATATTTTGAATTGTTCTTCTAGCCAAATTTTGACGAAAAAGATTATATGTTCATGGACTTAAAGATGCAAGAATTGATATAAAATCAGAAAATTTTTCTGAATATGTTAAATTTTGTAATCCTTTTCCTACTTCATACTATTTTGTTATTTCAACCATAACTTCACACAAGCCTTCAAAAGCTTTTTTGTTTAGAAAAGCACCACGTTCACCCATTTCAGCAAGTGTTTTCCAAAATAAAGCAGGCTGATTATCATCAGATTTTGTAAGCATTGCAAAGGTAACAATATCCGAATTAGAAAGATAATTGCTAAGTGGATGTGAACTAAGATGAGTTTTTGGTATAAATTTTTTATTTTCTTTAACAAATGGCCATTTATTTAAAGCATTCTAATTAATATAAAATATATTAATTTATTATATATAAAATTGAATTGTTTTGTACTATAGTTAATTAAATAATTTATATGAAAAACTTGATCTGAATTAATAAAAACATATTGATTACAAACTTCTGAGTTATTTGAAGTATAGATTTCACAATTCTGTGCATATACTGCTCTTCCTTCAATTTTCCATTTTGCTTGCGCTCTTACAGCTTTATTTAATTGTTCATGTTGATCTTTATTAAGCAATGCATATTGAACTGGCACATTTTCTAAAAACAGTTTTGGAAACATAGATCGTGCAATAGTATCTTTACGTAGTACACCACCATATAATGAAACAAATTGCGCTCGTTCAATGTAATTAATATGAATATCTTCATGTAATCCCTTACAAAGTGCACATTTTTGTTCTGGAATTACTGTTTTTTCTGCTAGACTAAAAAACTTTGTTATTGCACGTGTTCCACTAGACCGATTGCATCCTGATCCATTAACATGAAAATCAATGTATGTTTCATTATATTTTGACTTAAGAACAATTCGCTTTCCACAAATACAGATAATGGCCATTCCATCTTCAATTACTCGGAAAACATAAAGATGTTTTTGAAGACGTTCAAGTGTATATTTAGTCATTTATAAGAATTATATGGTTTGCAGAAAATAAAATATAGCTTGGCACAATCTTTAAATTGATTATATGATATATATATAGAATATTGGTTTTAAACAAATTATAATTTAGTAACGGTAAAAACTTGAAACTTTTTTTTTTGTATAATTAACCAAATTAGTATTGTAATTATCAAACTAATTTGTATAGAAGATTATGTATGATATCATAAAATAATTGTTCCTTTGCACCTATAAAGAATCACGTTCTTATGAAAAAGTGGCAAATTTTCATTTTATTAAATTCTAAAGAGAGATTTGGCCCAGCATAAATTTGGTATAAAATTAATAATACGTAATAGTTCAGATAAGAATCATAATGGCAAATATCTTTTAAAAATAGAATCTTAGTGTTAAACATATTAAGCAAGTTAAAGATGTGCATATTCGAATAACTTATCACATACAGTAACTACTAACCTAAACAGGATTACCGTGAGAATATATTTTTATACGTAACAATAAACTTAACTGTATTGTATAAGCTAAACCATGAAAACTCAATTGCTTAAGTGCAATGAAGAGACTGGTCCAAATAGGGATGTTAAGTAGTCTGGCCAGGATATTTTTTAATGTACTAACTAGTTAAACTAGCTGGTTTAATTGAATATATCGATATCATATTTTTAACCAGGTGGTTAAACTACTTAACTCCCTACATTCAAATATAAATCTAGAAGTTTTATATGCACAAAATGAAGATTCATAAGCATTTACACATTTAATCATTAACTTTAGAGGATCTAGCCTTAATGATGTGTGGTAGAGTGCAATAAATGTCATTTTTATTGCTGTAGCATTTTATATTTCCACAATCGTAATTTTTTTATTGCTGTAACTTTGGTAGTGTCATGCAAAATAGCGTAACAAAGTTAACAATTATACTTTTTAATTGTGTAACTTTATAATAGTTACTTTGTAATTAAGTAATGATCGAAGTAATAGTTCTAGTAAGCTTTGTCAATCATTACGATGTTTTAGAATAAGCTGATAGTCTAATTTGAGTAATATAAATAAGTAGCTGCATAATGTTGTTATGCAAAACTAGGAACAGAAAGTGGATTTTCAGAGAGTTACAGGTTAAACCAGTTTTGACATAAGTTTCCATTTGCTTCTATATTTAATTTTATCAATTTTAATAATAAGTTATTATCCATATAACAATCAATCTTAATTAAAATCTG